AATCAGCTAAGCTACCTACAATAAGTCGTTATATATCACAATGTGATATGGCGAAAAATGGGTGGATTCTTACCCTCAACTTTAGCAACACGGATAGCTACGGGTCCCGTTCAGACGGACGAGTTCATCAATGGTCGGAACAGAGATGAACTCGTCCGTCTGAACGGGACCTGTAGCTATCCGTGTTGCTAAAGTTGATGGTAAGAATCCACCCATTTTTCAACATATAGCATTGTGATATATAACGACTTATTGTTGGTAGCTTAGCTGATTGGAGAATATAGAGTTTATTGATAACATTGAGGTAATTTATATTTTAGTATTTTTATTGGTTCACTATATAGTATTCATTATATATTGTATTGTATTCCCTGTTACTGTGAATAGCTCAGATGTGTAGGTCTTAACTTCAACATAGCCATTTCTGTGACCAGTCACAAGCTAATCACTCAGTTATTTCAATGCTAAATTCTCCTGTTTGATTTGTACTAGGTGCCTCAGTGAATGTATATGCTCTGACTTTAACATAGCTATTTCTGTGACCAGTTACAAGCTATTCACTCAGCTATTTCAATGCTAAATTCTATGCTAATTCCTTTGTCAAGGAGTGCCTCTGCAGATGTGTATACTTTAACTTCGCTATTTCAACGCTAAATTCTATGCTAATTCCTTTGTCAAGGGGTGCCTTTGCGGATGTGTATGCTTTAACTTTAACATAGCCTTTTCTGTGACCAGTCACAAGCTAATCACTCAGCCATTTCAATGCTAAATTATATGCTAATTCCTTTTTCAAGGCACTTTGTTTCTTCTCACACAGCTTAAAGGTCGTGATCTCAGCGTGGCTTTCTCACTCCAGCGCTGTCCTCCAGACAGTCTCGTCCCCTTCACCTGATGAAGGCCGCTTGTGTTGTGGCCGAAACGTCGTGAGAATATTTTTGCGTTATTTTATTTTATAAATTTATTTTTTTATTCTCATTCTACGTGACTTTACCGAAAGAACCAAAGAAGATGAATCCTTGTAGTCACGAAAGCTTAAAATCGAAACTTTAAATTAGTTTAATTCACGATTTAGTGCTTTTTGTGGGAGCTTCGCTGTTATTTATTTATTTATTTATGACGCGTGCACGACCATACCAACTCACGCGCCTTTGGTCGCATGGCTTCGGTGGGAGTGAGGGGGATTAAAATAGCCAGGTACCACGCCATAAGCCCAGCCGTGAGCAAGCACTTTTAGAACGTCAGACAATAGATCAACAAGAAAGGGCATGTAACAAGTGGGAGAAGGCTCGGTGAGCCGCTGGTTATTTGCTGGGTTTACCTACGCTATCAAAGATAGATCCAGGGTCCTGAAACCATTATTGACGGTTTATAACACCTTGGGGAAATGCAACCAAAGACAACTCTCATTCCACTCCTTCATAGACAATCGCCTCTGTGGGGCAACCAATCACTAATAGAATGCACAAGGGCTAACTGGGCTGGCAGGAGAGCGACAGGCTTGGAAAGGGTTGGGGACCTTCCCAATAAGGATACCAAACTATCAGAGACACCATCTCCAAAGCTACAAACAAAAACTTTGACGGCAGCACTCACCCCATCTTGGATGGTCTGGTGGACAAAAAGGAAATCAAAAGTTTGTGCAGGCATAGCACGTGATTTTTAAAGAGATTGAGACCGGGTTTAGACACAAAAATAGAAAGCTGAGGGAAAAGGCTGTTCAGACAGGAAATTCCTCACCCGAAATAGACTCAAATATGGTTGGGCCCAGACAGCAGGCCGCAGGTCCCTTCTGATAAACATGATTTTGTTCAAATTCAGGCATGGGTCCTACATGACGAATGACAGGAGAGCCAAATTCACAAATTCCTCTACTAATTGCCCTAGATACCACAAGGCATGGAACAGACATAACTGAATGCCTTCTGGACGTGCCCAGATATTTGAGAATTTTACGAGAATATAATGGATTATTTTAATCGGAACTGGGGCAGTGCTGAGCCCCTCAGTGGACTAAATTCTGCGGGGCTTAAAACCAAGAGGGCTTACAAGGCTAAGGGCGGTTTGTCTTCATTTTTTAGACAGGCCACCACTCGCTTATGCAGCTTTATGGAGCAAGGGGAAAAGGTTGAATGTATCAAAAAAACTCCAAGGAAAGTACTGAACACCCAAACCCATAGTCTCTCACTTATGCCCTTGTGCATTCTCGAACTCACATGCACTGTGAAACAATGTTGTCTCAGCTACCGCTAGGCAACCGAGGCTGTTCTGGATAGCTACACTGGGGTATTGCCACAGCGATTGACACTAGAACGCATCTCTTCTGGTCAGTGATACCACAGACACGAAGTAGTTGTGGTACTTCGTAATTCATGGACTTAATACACAGTCCGTCCAGTATCCTTCATCGGAGTCAGTGCAGTGCAGATAGATGTTCACAGCGCCATGCCGCAGCGAAACAGCCACACGCCAGCAGTGGCAGCTGACATCTGATGAACGACAGCCCCATACGAGTGCTGATGCAGTCGCGGGCCGTTAATCACAGCACAGCGACGCTTCTGGTATCAGCGGTGACAAAGTATAGACGCGATCTTCTCATACATACCGACAGCCAAGTATTCTGGTCCCGTCAGGTGACAGCTCAGCACATAATTATAATAGTTCCATTCATATTCTTGGTTCTTTCGGTAAAGTCACGTAGAAGGGAAACAATAAAATAATAAAAATATAAAACAATATTATTTTATTGTTTCCCTTATACGTGGTGACTTTACCGAAAGAACCAAGAAAATGAATCCCTGCAGTCACGAAAGCTTTAAATTTAAATTTAGTTCCATTCATGTCGCGCTTTTCGTCAATGATCTCAAAGCGGGGTACAGAACACAGCAGCAGCAGACAATCATCATAAACATCATAATATTATAAATACATTTAATAACTAAATCTTAACCGTGATGATAGTCCATGGATCTGTAGTTATGGAGTCACTATTTACCCCGAGTTGATTCCGGTTAGTGACTTGATTGGCACAGTAGAGTGCAGTGGGTGTTCTCTCCTCTGTGTGGATCTTCTCTTCGAGTCCTACTTATCTCAACGTATTCACCAACAACTTTTTACACATTACCTCTAAAACAATTGCAAATATGAAAATCTCCTTTTTTTGTTTTTATTGTAACTCGACATGAGCCCTGTACAAAGAACAAAACCGTGACGCAGGGAGGGGTCACAGAAACTGCGCGGACAAAACCCCAAGCTCAGTGCTTCTGGGTTGAAGGAAAAGCCACTGAAGTTGCAGAAGCTACAGTGTAAAGTTCTATTCTGATCACGTGTAGGGAATTCTATATTGTAAGTGTAACGCTATCCGCGTCCAATGTAGCATGGTCACACAATTGCTGGGCACTGCCAATACTAAAGCTACGAACACGAGTTGAGTCGCACACACATGGATGAACTGTGGGCTGGGACGCGTCAACGTGCTCTCCTTTAGTACAGTTCGTGCTCTTTTTTTAATAACAATATATTTAACAAAAAGACAACATTTATTACTTATGCCCGTCATAAAATATATTCAGCCTTCCACGTCCAATGAAACCCATAATTCATCCTCTGCCTTATATTTATGGTGTTTATGTTTCGACTGTAAGGATGACATTTTTAAGTTGTATTAATCTGGTAATTTTGAATAGTAATGTATCATATGTTAATTACCTTCGTGTTAGGTGTTACTTACGTGCCAATGCTCTACAACGTTACGTTTATGTGCAGTCTGTCGACCACCTCCCATAACCAGAAAGGATCTCATCCTAATTAACTCGGCTTGGAGAATATTTTGCCGTATTTAAAAAATCGATATTTCCAATACCATAAAACTTATCTTTTACAATAAACGATAAGGCAAATTACAATGCAATGTATACACGTAAGTTCAGACAATTATATTCATAATTTCCACCACTAAAGCGTATTTCACGCCCAGATCACAAGGCGTTGTACAAACACACACCCAGACTTATACAAATACAATCCAACCCCAAAACAAAGGACACAAGAAGTAGAAAACGTCCTTAAAATTAAGTTGTATCTTAAGGCGCGATTTCAATAAATCAAGGGGGGGAGTCAGCAGAGTGAATGAACGTTCCGTGGAAATGAATGCCACATCCTGGAGGACCACACGGAGTCGCCCATCGTATAGAGACGTGACCTCGGCACACCCAATATGTCTACAAAACAAATAAATATCAGATCCACAATACACCAAACCAGTGCATAATGTGTGTTACGCATTGTTGCTGTTTTGTGCCATATATACCCCACAGTTCATGTTAAGTACTCTTGCATCCTGCCTATAACACAAGGCCACATAGCAACGTGTGCTTATACTGATGCAACTATTTTATTCAAAATTTGTACAGAGTTTGCCTGCTTGGATAAAATGCTGCTGTAAATTACACATTGGTTAAGTAACACAATATCAATAAGTAAATAATATGTATGTTGAACTTCTTTCGCAACGTACATAACCAACCATGCTAATCGTAAGTGCCTGTGGTGATTCTGACACTTGTATTAATGCATTATTCAATAATGTAGGCCCTAAATATATTATCTGAAAGAGAATATTCGTAATTCCAAATATACGAAGTTCAATTTAATAAATGGAAAAATATATTAATGTATGTTGATATCGTTAGTTTGAAACAAGCGTCCCATATAGCATTCATTTCTAAAACAATATCATTCATATTTTTCGTTTAAATGTCGAGAGAATAATTTCTCTATTTCGGTGGCTCTATAAAAAACCCAGGAATATCACAAATTCCTGCCAAGTTCACTTTCATTTATTCTTAGGTACAGATTTAGTGCAGGCTCAGCAGATCCACCAAAGAACTGCAAAAGCACTTCCATTAAATGGTGACACCATGCAGAGACCATTCAGCAGTGTTTTTTTTCCATTTCTGCTGAATGATTATCCTTATGTAGTGAGTGACTGCTGATACACAACGTGGAGAGGGCTTCTTATTTATTTCTCACACTTGAGCACAATCACTAGGCGACATATGGAAACGTATCTACATAACTACACACAGCCGACCTTTCTACATAGCCCTATTGTCGGAGTCTAACTACATAGCTGGCTGACTAATGTAGCGACGACGGCGATGGGAGCCGTGCAAAGGATCCGCCATGCGGCCGGATGGCGAGCAGCGACACAGCCAGGACCCGGGACCCCACGACAGCCCCGAACCTTCGGTCACGTCCCCCCTATATGGTTCCAGGTGTGGCCAGGCCCCGCCTCCGGCCACACTCCCTTCTAGAACCTTCGAGCAGGTTCCCGGAGCTTCCCGACTGACCCTTCCTTTTACCTTTAACCCAGATACGCCCCCCTTCTAATTGGTTATAATATAACGCAACAATACTCGAAATTACCCCTCCTGGCCAACAGGTGGCACCCTGTCATTGTACTTCTACTGACTATAAATAATGGTAAATGTGTTATGTGTAGTGACTGTTATTCAAGTACTTCACAATCACTATGCTCATCCACTACGCTCAGATCAATAATTGTCAATGATCCATCAACACTGCCAATATATAGTGCTGGGTAGAGAGGCTCAGAGAACTGATGGGAAAATCTGTGTAAAAGTAGCATGGAGTCGGTGTTGTAAAACGACATCATCCCATTCTCCCAGTCAATGTGAATACCGACTCTCTGTGGAGACTCTCTCACAGACAGTGAAGTCTCTACAAAACCATGCTGTACATAATATGTGTCGTGACTTTTAATTAAACACCATGACTTCTCAGTCAATCCTAAGATGGACTGTGGGATGTTCCCGTATGCAGCACCAACTCGACATAACCCTGAATTATTCATGTCCACCTCCCAGTAGTGCTGACCCGATGAGAAGCTCTCAGAGCACAGGGATTGGTAATGGATGGCAAACATCTTTTCACGAACATGGTGACCTTTAGAGACGGGAGTCCGTGTCAACGTTCTTAGATCTGAAGAAATGTTTAGACTATGATGGGCTATGTTCGGTTTCAGAGTTGGTGAGCATCCATCTGCAGAAAAAAAAAAGCAATACTACATGTATTTTACAAGTACAATATCACAAATTATTATGGTCATCATCAAGTTAAACAAGCATATTTTCACCATTCATTACTGAAATTACTCTATGCATAGTAATAATAAAAGACGAAGACTATAATAAGTGGAAAAATAGCAGGTGCGTGTTGCATGAGATGCACATCATTATTTCGTTGTCCATGAATAATAATTAACCTATATTCTTGGTTCTTTCGGTAAAGTCACGTAGATGGGAAACAATAAAATAATAAAAACATAAAACAATACTCTTTTGGTAAAGTCACGTAGAAGGGAAACAATAAAATAATAAAAATCTAAATCCAAGAATATGAATCCCTGCAGTCACGAAAGCTTTAAATCAAAATAATGAACCTGCTTCATGAGTTTCAATGAGACGCTTATGCAGAGTTTGCCAACAATACCACGTGATTGGGCAAATTATAATTAGATTATAATCACAGCACTGCCGCGCCATACGAATAATGATCGAGTCTCTCAAGGCACGGGACAATAGAGGGCATTATGTGGATGGACCTCAATCACAACGATCCTCTAGGGGCTTGGGTTGCACAAACCAATGCAGTTTGCATAGGAATCCATCATAGGCCCAATCACTGGCCTTCCTATACAGTGAGGGAAAAAAGTATTTGACCCCCTGCTGATTTTGTACGTTTTCCGACTGCCAAATAAATAATCAGTCTATAATTTTAATTATAGGTTTATTTGAACAGTGAGAGAGAGAATAACAAAAACGAAATCCAGAAAAACGCATGTCAAAATTTTTATAAATTGATTTGCATTTTAATGAGGGAAATAAGTATTTGACCCCCTCTCAATCAGAAAGATTTCTGGCTCCCAAGTGACTTTTATACAGGTAACGAGCTGAGATTAGGAGCACACTCTTAAAGGGAGTGCTCCTAATCTCAGCTTGTTACCTGTATAAAAGGCACCTGTCCACAGAAGCAATCAATGAATCAGATTCCAAACTCTCCACCATTGCCAAGACCAACGAGCTCTCCAAGGATGTCAGGGACAAGATTGTAGACCTACACAAGGCTGGAATGGGCTACGAGACCATTGCCAAGCAGCTTGGTGAGAAGGTGACAACAGTTGGTGCGATTATTTGCAAATGAAAGAAACACAAAAGAACTGTCAATTTCCCTCGGCCTGGGGCTCCATGCAAGATCTCAACTCGTGGAGTTGCAATGATCATGAGAACGGTGAGGAATCAGCCCAGAACTGCACGGGAGGATCTTGCCAATGAACTCAAGGCAGCTGGGACCATAGTCACCAAGAAAACAATTGGTAACACACTATGCCGTGAAGGACTGAAATCCTGCAGCGCCCGCAAGGTCCCACTGCTCAAGAAAGCACATATACATGCCCATCTGAAGTTTGCCAATGAACATCTAAATGATTCAGAGGACAACTGGGTGAAAGGGTTGTGGTCAGATGAGACCAAAATGGAGCTCTTTGGCATCAACTCAACTCGCCGTGTTTGGAGGAGGAATGCTGCCTATGACCCCAAGAACACCATCCCCACCGTCAAACATGGAGGTGGAAACATTATGCTTTGGGGGTGTTTTTCTGCTAAGGGGACAGGACAACTTCACCGCATCAAAGGGACGATGGACGGGACCATGTACCATCAAACCTTGGGTGAGAACCTCCTTCCCTCAGCCAGGGCATTGAAAATGGGTCGTGGATGGGTATTCCATCAGGACAATGACCCAAAACACACGGCCAAGGCAACAAAGGAGTGGCTCAAGAAGAAGCACATTAAGGTCCTGGAGTGGCCTATCCAGTCTCCAGACCTTAATCCCATACAAAATCTGTGGAGGGAGCTGAAGGTTCGAGTTGCCAAACGTCAGCCTCGAAACCTTAATGACTTGGAGAAGATCTGCAAAGAGGAGTGGGACAAAATCCCTCCTGAGATGTGTGCAAACCTGGTGGCCAACTACAAGAAACGTCTGACCTCTGTGATTGCCAACAAGGATTTTACCACCAAGTACTAAGTCATGTTTTGCAGAGGGGTCAAATTCGTATTTCCTTTATTAAAATGCAAATCAATTTATAACATTTTTGACATGCGTTTTTCTGGATTTTTGTTGTTATTCTGTCTTTCACTGTTCAAATAAACCTACCATTAGAATTATAGACTGATCATTTCTTTGTCAGTTGGCAAACGTACAAAATCAGCAGGGGATCAAATACTTTTTTCCCTCACTGTAGCATGTGCATGTTAGACGTGTTTGCTTGGGCTATCACAACTGCCAATCTTTGTCGAAATATACGTATCTGCTGACAATGTGATTTTGGATCAGGGAAGAAATTTTCAACAAATGCACAATTCACCGGAAATGTTTTTCTTTGACAAAAAAATGTGGTATAAATGTGAACAGCACCCACTATATGTATAACTAATTTATGATATGAGATTACCACTAAGCTATCTTAGACTCATGGTTATTACGGGACGCGTGATGCTGTTGGCGTATTATGTCCATCATAATACTTTAGTTTTATAATGTTGACAATTAAGTTAGCACAGCTGCAACTAGTTTGGTAAAGAAATATGAAGTGTATTTCTCAAAATATTTCATGACGTCCATAATTGAGGCCTCATAATAGAAATATATAAGTAATAATATAAGTGTTAAATACATAAAGCTGAAACTCAAATGACAAAAGTCAAATAATAATTTAATATAAGTGTGTCTCTCTGCTCTGTTTACTCTGAGGAAGGTCAATTCCCTCAACGTTACCCTATTATAGGTTGAATCAATGCCACGTGACAGAAAGGGGGTGGGAGGGTATTTACCCGTACACTCTACTTGTGTAAACCTGAAGTGATGGAACGATAGCCAAAATAGCATACCTGTCAACCCATACGGTTTACCTGTGTTCTCGTAAAGGAAAATTAAGTCGTCGGGTCCATACGGCGTACAGCCGTTTCAATATGGGCAAAACATGTTTTGTCTATTTTTTTGTTTCTCCCATGTGTTGGAACTTTGTAGGATGAATGTTGAGATTTATAAAGGCACGGGTGACCAATAAGGGCTGAGTCGGTCTGGAATAAGGTCGGCACTTATAAGGGGTTGACACATATCAAATAGCCGCATTAATTTGGCCCTTTAGATTTATTAGAATCATAATATTCATTTATACTGGAGGAATACTAGGATATAAAAAGCTATTTTTCAAAGATGTCCAGTAGGGCGGGTCAGAACGTTAAAACAACAAGCGATACAAACATATTATAGTATTGCAAAGTATAAGAAAGGTAAGCAAATCAGAAAAAAAAACTAAGCAGTTTTTTTGTATTTTGCCGGGTAAAGCCCATTGAGCTATTATATTATTTTTCAGAAGCGAACTGGCCACAAATGAGAACTCAACGAAGTAGCTTATCACGTGAACATTTATAGTAGCCAAATAATCTATACACACCATGGGACCTCCTTTGCCAGTACCAAAATATGAGAATAGGTTTTCCCTTTTTTTTCTGGCAACAAAACAGGTATTAAGATCTTAAAACACCAAACTTAAACCTTTAACAAGGAATCATGTCTGCATTAACCACAATACTTGTTGTCAGAATGCAAAAAAAAACACTAATAATATATGCAATGTCCTTGAAACTGATTGGTCCACACCAGAGAAAGCTGTGTATCTGTTCAAATTGCATTAGTACATTAATACCCAAGCTAACACATTCAAATTGAACTATCACTCCATGGGTAAGGATAAAAGTTACAAATCACACGTGCAATTGGGGCTGTGTTCAGCTCAAATATTTTTCTTCCTATTAACTCGAATGCCATTAGAAATATTCTTACTTCAAGCTGTAAATAGTTAAGAAAAATAGATCATTAAGCAAAAAGAACTCTTCTGAGGAACATAATAAACATTTTAGCTGGAACCCCTTCAAGACAGTGCACACGCAGAATACATACATTTGAGTAGTCTTAACCGTTCTTCATCTGGTGAAAAAAAATTACATTAAGTTACTTGTGCAATCAGACAAGAACACATACGCAAACAAAAAAAACATTGAAGTTATTATGTAAGGAAAGATACAATCAATATATATTCAACAGCACACACATTTTTTTATTTAGACCTTGACAAAAAGAGCTTGGAAATGTACATCATTGAATTAATACTATTTTCATGAATACACAAATTAGGTAATAATCTACACATGTGCAGTGACTGACTTGGAGATGTATCTCTTGGAGGCAATTATTTAATTTAACGAGCACACTTTGTACACTATATGCAATACACACCCCACGCTGTTACACAATGCTCTGTCTTCTCGCTTAAACACAACTCTTCTCTGGTTCATCTTCTTTGGTTCTTTCGGTATAGTCACGTAGAATGAGAATAAAATAATACATTGATAAAATAAAATAACACAATAATATTCTCACGACGTTTCGGCCACAACACAAGCGGCCTTCATCAGGTGAAGGGACGAGACTGTCTGGTAGGACAGCGCTGGAGTGAAAGAGCCACGTTCAGATCACGACTTTTAAGCTGTGTGAGAGGAAACAAAGCGCCTTGACAAAGGAATTAGCATATAATTTAGCATTGAAATGGCTGAGTGATTAGCTTGTGACTGGTCACAGAAATAGCTATGTTAAAAGTTAAAGCATACACATCCGCAGAGGCACCCCTTGACAATGGAATTAGCATAGAATTTAGCATTGAAATAGCTAAGTTAAAGCATACACATTCGCAAAGGCACCCCTTGACAAAGGAATTAGCATAGAATTTAGCATTGAAATAGCTGAGTGATTAGCTTGTAATTGGTCACAGAAATAGCTAAGCTACCAACAATAAGTCGTTATATATCACAATGCTATATGGCGAAAAATGATTGGAGAATATAGAGTTCATTGATAACATTAAGGTAATTTATATTTTAGTTTTTTATTGGTTCACTATATAGTACTGTGAATAGCTCAGATGTGTAGGCCTTGACTTCAACATAGTCATTTCTGTGACCAGTCACTAGCTAATCACTCAGTTATTTCAATGCTAAATTCGCCTAGTTATTTCAATGCTAAATTCTCCTGTTTGATTTGTACTAAGTGCCTCGGTGAATGTGTATGCTCTGACTTTAACGTAGCTATTTCTGTGACCAGTTACAAGCTAATCACTCAGCTATTTCAATGTTAAATTCTATGCTAATTCCTTTGTCAAGGGGTGCCTCTGCGGATGTGTATGCTTTAACTTAGCTATTTCAATGCAAAATTCTATGCTAATTCCTTTGTCAAGGGGTGCCTCTGCAGATGTGTATGCTTTAACTTTTAACATAGCTATTTCTGTGACCAGTCACAAGCTAATCACTCAGCCATTTCAATGCTAAATTATATGCTAATTCCTTTGTCAAGGCGCTTTGTTTCCTCGCACACAGCTTAAAAGTCGTGATCTGAACGTGGCTCTTTCACTCCAGCGCTGTCCTACCAGACAGTCTCGTCCCTTCACCTGATGAAGGCCGCTTGTGTTGTGGCCGAAACGTCGTGAGAATATTATTGTGTTATTTTATTTTATCAATTTATTATTTTATTCTCATTCTACGTGACTTTACCGAAAGAACCAAAGAAGATGAATCATTGCAGTCACGAAAGCTTTAAATCGAAAAATCCTCTCTGGTTGCTAGCCTCATCATCATTCTAATTACTGGTGAAACGTCGTACTCAGTTTGTAAATGTTGCGGCTTAGCTCTCCAACACACCGGTGTGCTGTACTAGTGACGAATTGGCACGTTCTGTTTACGTGACAACCCTTACTAGTTGGCTGTGTCGGGTGTTGGCGGGTTTTAACGACACATTTATATATTAACGCGATCTAACCCAAAAACCTCTATTATGGATGATATTGGTAGCGAAAGCCGACGTCTTAAACATGAAAGTAAACAATGTGTAGACAAATAAAACACAACATAATATGTACACTTAGCAGAGCTATTGATTGTGGATCTGTACCAAATTGACAAAATACAGGTCGTGGACGAGAGTGGTGGTAATTGCTGAAATTGGATCGTGCAAAGCGACACCCGAATGTCGCGAGAGACGAAGAATAAAGAAGCAGTGCATTGTAGCTGCTATGACACCATGCGGATGTAGGAAATACCGCACTTTTGTCAACAACGTGAGGGTTGAGAAAAATACTGTACAGTGTGTTGCTCAGCAAGAGAGGCCGTAGCCGTGGAGATGTCTCACTAGGTGACCTATCTCAATGTGTGACAGACACAATTTGGAATGTGCTTTGTGGGATCATGCGCATAGATAACTTACCTGTATAATTCTTGAGTCGCGCTTGTTCTAATAACAACATTAACATTTAGTGACCACGAAGTGCTTACAATAAAGCAATACAGTGATTACTTCTAATAAAAATGAATAAAATCTACAAGATTAACGAAATTATGAATGTTGTAGCAATTGATAGCACACAATTTGTAATGTATATATACTTTCACATTACTCTGTATTTTAAATACGACGAATGAAAATTCAGAATTTACTGCCCAGAGCATAGCGAAGCTCGTTATGTAATAAACCATGCTCTGGAGAGAAAAATAGATTCTCTGTTATTAACTTCTCAGCCACAGCGTACATGGAAAACTTACCAGCAGATAGTAAGGCGCTGTCTTGCTCTGACATAAAACAAACACATCAACACAATTAGCAAACAGTTTAGCACAGGGCATGCTACATGCAGTGAATCATGGAGAACATATGGTTATACACTGCAGTGGTTAATTTATCTGAGTATTGTCCTCTTTTATTTACCGCTATTGCAGATCCCATCTTGGGCTGCCCACCAGCAGCAAAGAACTTAAAAGCGCGTCAGGCTCTTCCAGCTTCAATCGGACGTCTGTGTCTATTTGTCTTGCAAATCAAGGTATATCATGATTTGTCGACTGTGATTTAAATACGTGAATAATGATTCGTCTATATTATCAAATCGATCCGTTTGGACCCCGTGTGGTTATTGCCTAGTGGTTGTAGAAATAGTAAAGTCATCTATGTTATAGTTTAGGTAATTCTTGAGTAAAAAACAGCAGAAAATATAATGCACAGGATGTCTTCATCCAAGGCAGCAAATCCGCTCATGATTGTTATTATTTTATATCGTGCCCATGTGATTGAATTTCAAAAACAGTTTCAGCCCCACATTCAAAGATTTGTAAATGAGCGATGACATTTTAATGCAAATGAAAAAAAAAATTGTGGACAGAACGTACCTCGTAAAAGAGCCATTTTGGTTAAATCTAAAAACAAAAGAAATTAAATATTTGTTAATTAACAAACATAAAAGTAATAGTTCGGCTGATTCTAAATAACAGGTATATCAGACACGGTCATTAACAATAGTTTGCACAGTCAAGCAGGTTTGAATGGTCTATTCAGATTGACGGGTCCCTGGTAACATAACCAGGCAGATTGACGGGCCCATCTTTCTAATGAGGGAGTCGGCACGTTTTTAATCTCTTAACTTATGTATTAATCCAGTCAACTTGTAGCCCTGGAGACACAATAGTTGTGAGAAATTACTGTTACTGGTGTAGGTGACATAAGTGTAGTTGTAAATTCCATTGAATGACCAGCTAATTTAAAGTTGAAGACTGATCGGAAACGTGCGTAAAATAGTTCCCTTTTCATCATCTTTGAGGATGAGTCCAGGGCTCTCTGGAGCGAGGACGATGAAGTCTGCCTCTCGCCAAAGCCCTTCATTATAACGCATGGGCAGTGATATTTCAGCTCAGTCTTAACTGTACACTAGCTACAGTGTTGAGGTATTGCTAGTGTGTGCTTAAGATAAGTGTAACTGTTTATTATAGCAGTTTTGTTTTTTGTCCAGTCAGCTAATGACTGTTGTATTTTGTTAGTATTATTCATTTTACCCTGTGATAGATCCTTCACAACTCCACTGTGGTGAAGATCGCGCCCAATAAATGTGTAGAATACCGGATGATGGCCGTACGTTTCGACTGGATTTATGAGCCAAGGTTCACAGTCTAAATGGATACGCTCAGATCATGTACATCAGTGTCAGAACAGTACTTCTAAACAATATTCCTGTTTTTCAAATACAAGCTTAGAATGGTTTAAATTGTTTTAAATGTTAAATAAATTAACGAAACATGTTTCCCCCTCTGATAGGACCACTTCTTCTTATAGTTTTTCAGTATCCTACATTTATATCTCTTCTTGCGCAATTTACAAGCTGAGGTTATTAATCACCACCAGACTTGATCAATCCTGAGGAGAACATGTAAACTACATTTTACCAGTTAAAGACTACTGAGCTGTCAAGCTTTTTTTCAGAAGTGACCTGGCCACATGAGAGCTCATCGAAGTATGTTATCACGCGGACATTTATAGCAGCCAAATACTGTAAACTAATGTTTCTTATAAATGTGGAGGGAGAAATTGGAGGACCCAGATACAAGTCCACGCGACCATACGGAGAACATGTAAACTACAAATATACAGGCGTAAGGGTCGGCATCTGGATAAAACCCACGGGCTGCTGTTTACGGGCAAATCATCCTGCAGCCACTGCCAATTGTCTCGTGTCCTGCACACAGGCTGATTTTACCACTCATTCTCCACAGAGGTCGTCTTCTTGGGTGCCTTCTCTGCTCTGGCTGCCATTACATCAAACGTTTGTTAATTGGTAGTCATCTCTTCTCGTGACGAGTCCTGCCTAACGTTTTAATCAAGGAGGCGTCTTTCACCTGCGTATGCTCTCTAATCTAAACGTTTCTCTGTGTTTTAATGTAACTCCAAGCATAGACATAGCGATGATTCATTAGCGTTCTAGTTTTTATTCCAAATTATTTAATATGGTCTGCATTTCTGATCGATGCTGCAGCCAGGTACACACACTCATTTGGAGAATAATATACTTCTGAGCACAGATACGTGTTACAAATTGTTATGAATTTAAACATTGAGCGTTTTTAATTATTAGCAGAGAGTAGTTTAATTTCAGTGTTGATTTAATGTGCCATTGAAATGTAATCATATATTGAAATATTCAAGTTACCGAACAGCTACTGTATAAATATTGATACTTTTAAAATATGTAAAAATTGTAATGTCGCATTTCAAAGTTAAAGCACTGTGCATGCACAGCAAGCATTGCTAAGGAGCCTCTGATTGAGTCACGGAAAAAGTTTCACCCTCCCAGTTCCAAGATTTATAAATGAGTGATGACATTTTAATGCTCTTGAAGAAAATCTTTTGTATAGAACTTACCTTCATTAAGAGCCCTCTTTTCTTCATCCACAAACAAGAGAAATTGAATATTAGTAAATTACCAAACATAAAAGTCACAGTTCTGCTGTTTAATAATCACAGGTATTACAGACACGGTCATTTGCAAGAGTTTGCACAGTCAAGCGGGTTTGAATTTTCTATTCAGGTTGAGTGTCCCCAGTAACATAACTAGGCAGAGTGAGGGGCCCTGCTTTTTGATGAGGTAGTCGAAACGTTTTTTAAGCTATGAACGAAGAGAAGTATTTATCCAGTCAACTTGTAGCCCTGGAGACACAATAGTTGTGGGTAATTGCTATTACTGGTGTAGATGACATAAGTGTACTTGTAAATTCCATGTAATGACCAGCTAATTTAAAATTGAAGACTGATGGCAAACGGGTGTGAAATAATTCCCTTTCATTATCTTTGAGGATGAGTCCAAGGCTCTCTGGAGCGAGGACGATGAAGTCTGCCTCTATCATAAGCCCTTTGTTATAACGTATCGGCAGTGATAATTAGCTCAGTCTTTACTGTACACTAGGTACAGTGGTGAAGTTTGGCTGAAGCGTGCTTAAGATAAGTGTACCTGTTTATTATAGCAGTTTTGTTTTTTGTCAGTCAGCTAATGACTTGTTTTTTGTAAGTATTATACATTTTACCCTGTGATAGATCCTTCACAACTCCACTGTGGTGAAGATCGCGCCCAATAAATGTGTAGAATACCGGATGATGGCCCTACGTAACGACTGGATTTATGAGCCAAGGTTCACAGTCTAAATGGATACGCTCAGATCAGAGTCAGAACAGTACTTTTAAACAATATTCATGTTTTTCAGATACAAGTTTAGAATGGTTTTAATTATTTTAAATGGTAAATAAATTAACGCAACATGTTTCCACCTCTGATAGGACCACTTCTTCTTATAGTCTTTCAGAATCCTACATTTACATCTCTTCTTGCGCAATTTACAAACTGAGGTTATTAATCACCACCAGATTTGATCAATCCTGAGGAGAACATGTAAACTACATTTTACCATTTAAAGCCTACTGAGCTGTCAAGCTTTTTTTCACAAGTGACCTGGCCACATGATAGCTCATCGAAGAATATTATCATGCGGACATTTATAGCAGCAAAATACTGTAAACGAATGTTATTCTAAACATGGAGGAAGAAATTGGAGGACCCAGATAAAAATCCACGCGACCACGAGGAGAACATGTAAACTACAAATATACAGGCGTCAGGGTCGGCATCTGGATCAAACCCACGCGCTGCTGTTTACGGGCAAATCATCCTGCAGCCAATGCCATCTGTCTCGTGTCCTGCACACAGTCTGATTTTACCACTCATTCTCCACAGAGGTCATCCTCTTGGGTGCCTTCTCTGCTCTGGTTGCCTTGTCTGCTCTGGTTGCCATTACATCAAACTTTTGTTAATTGGTAGTCATCTTTTCTCGTGACGAGTCCTGCCTGACGTTTTAATCAAGGAGGCGTCTTTCACCTGAGTATGCTCTCTAATCTACACGTTTCTATGTGTTTTAATGTAACTCCCAGCACGCACATCGCAATTATTCATTAGCGTTCTAGATTTTATTCCAATTTTTTTTAATATCGTCTGCATTTCTGATCGATGCTGCAGCCAGGTACACACACTCATTTGGAGAATAACATACTTCCGAACACAGATACGTTTTACAAATAGTTATTAATTTAAACATTGAGCATTTTTTATTGTTAGCAGAGAGTAGTTTAATTTTAGTGTTGATTTAATGTGTCATTGAAATGTAATCATATATTGACATATTCAAGTTACCGAACAGCTACTATATAACTATTTATACTTAAAATATATGTAAAAATGGAAATGTCGCATTTCAAAGTTAAAGCACTGTCCATGCACAGCAAGCATTGCTAAAGGAGCCTCTGATTGAGTCAGGAAAAAAGTTTCACCCTCCCAGTTCCAAAATTTATAAACGAGTGATGACATTTTAATGCTCTTGAAGAAAATAGTTTTGTACAGAACTTACCTTCAGTAAATCCCCTCTTTGCTTGATCCAAAAGCAAGATAAATTGAATATTAGTAAATTACCAAACATAAAAGTCACAGTTCTGCTTATTAAAATTTACAGGTATTACAGACATGGTCATTTACAAGAGTTTGCACAGTCAAGTGGGATTGCATTTTCTATTCAGGTTGAGTGACCACAATATCATAACTAGGCAGAGTGTGGGGCCCACCTTTTTGATGAGGTAGTCGAAACGTTTTTGAAGCTATGAACGAACTCAATTATTTATTCAGTCAACTTATAGCCCTGAAGACACAATAGTTGCGAGTAATTGCTATTACTGGTGTAGATGACATAAGTGTACTTGTAAATTCCATGTAATGACCAGCTAATTTAAAATTGAAGACTGATGGCAATCGTGTGTGAAACAATTCCCTTACAGTATCTTTGAGGATGAGTCCAAGGCTCTCTGGAGCGAGGACGATGAAGTCTGCCTCTATCATAAGCCCTTTGTTATAACGCACTATGTACAGTGGTGAAGTTTGGCTGAAGCGTGCTTAAGATAAATGCACTTTTTGATTTAAAGCTTTCGCGACTGCAGGGATTAATATTCTTGGTTCTTTCGGTAAAGTCACGTAGAAGGGAAACAATAAAATAATAAAAAATATAAAACAATACAATTTTCACGACGTTTCGACTGCAACACAAGCAATCATCATCAGGTGAGAAAACCACAGCAAAAAAAATTGAAGTGGCGGTTTTCCTTTTTTCCGAACATAGAGGGACTCGTCCATCTGAACAAACTGTTAAATCGCTCTACGTGGTGCTAACGTAAAAAAAGTAACTTTTTTCAATTTTTTTTGCTGTGGTTTTCACACCTGATGATGATTGCTTGTGTTGCAGTCGAAACGTTGTGAGAATTTTATTGTTTTATATTTTTATTATTTTATTGTTTCCCTTCGTGACTTTACCGAAAGAGCCAAGAATATGTGTACCTGTTTAATATAGCAGTTTTGTTTTTGTCCAGTCAGCTAATGACTGTTGTATTTTGTTAGTATTTTACATTTTACCCTGTGATAGATCCTTCACAACTCCACTGTGGTGAAGATCGCGCCCAATAAATGTGTAGAATACCGGATGATGGCCCTACGTTTCGACTTAATTTATGAGCCAAGGTTCACAGTCTAAATGGATACGCTCAGATCAGAGTCAGAACAGTACTTTTAAACAATATTCCTGTTTTTCAGATACAAGTTTAGAATGGTTTTAATTGTTTTAAATGGTAAATAAATTAACGCAACATCTTTCCACCTCTGATAGGACCACTTCTTCTTATAGTTTTTCAGTATCCTACATTTACATCTCTTCTTGTGGAATTTACAAGCTGAGGTCATTAATCACCACCAGACTTGATCAATCCTGAAGAGAACATGTAAATTACATTTTACCAGTTAAAGCCTACTGAGCTGTCAAGCTTTTTTTCAGAAGTGACCTGGGCACATGATAGCTCACCGAAGTATATTATCACGTGGACATTTATAGCAGCCAAATACTGTAAACGAATGTTTATTCTAAATGTAGAAGGAGAAATTGGAGGACTCAGTTAAAAATCCATGCGACCACGAGGAGAACATGTAATATACAAATACAGTGAGGGAAAAAAGTATTTGATCCCCTGCTGATTTTGTACGTTTGCCCACTGACGAAGAAAAGATCAGTCTATAATTTTAATGGTAGGTTTATTTGAACAGTGAGAGACAGAATAACAACAAAAAAATCCGGAAAAACGCATGTCAAAGATGTCATGAATTGATTTGCATTTTAATGAGGGAAATAAGTATTTGACCCCTCTGCAATAGATGACTTAGTACTTGGTGGCAAAACACTTGTTGGCAATCACAGAGGTCAGACGTTTCTTGGAGTTGGCCACCAGGTTTGCACACATCTCAGGAGGAATTTTGTCCCACTCCTCTTTGGAGATCTTATCCAAGTCATTAAGGTTTCGAGGCTGACGTTTGGCAACTCGAACCTTCAGCTCCCTCCATAGATTTTCCATGGGATTAAGGTCTGGAGACTGGCTAGACCACTCCAGGACCTTAAACTGCTTTTTTTGAGCCACTCCTTTGTTGCAATGGCCGTGTGCTTTGGGTCATTGTCATGCTGGACTACCCATCCACGACCCATTTTCAATGCCCTGGCTGTGGGAAGGAGGTTCTCAACCAAGATTTGACGGTACATGGCCCCGTCCATCGTCCCTTTGATGCGGTGAAGTTGTCCTGTCCCCTTAGCAGAAAAACACCCCCAAAGCATAATGTTTCCACCCCCATGTGTGACGGTGGGGATGGTGTTATTGGGGTCATAGCCAGCATTCCTCCTCCAAACACGGAGAGTTGAGTTGATGCCAAAGAGCTCCATTTTGGTCTCATCTGACCACAACACTTTCACCCAGTTGTCCTCCGAATCATTCAGATGTTCATTGGCAAACTTCAGACGGGCATGTCTATGTGCTTTTTTAAGCAGGGGGACCTTGCGGGCACTGCAGGATTTCAGTCCTTCACGGCGTAGTGTGTTACCAATTGATTTATTGGTGACTATGGTCCGAGCTGCCTTGAGATAATTGACAATATCCTCCCGTGTAGTTCTGGGCTGATTCCTCACCGTTCTCATGATCATTGCAACTCCACGAGGTGAGATCTTGCATGGAGCCCCAGTCCGAGGGAGATTGACAGTTCTTTTGTGTTATTTTTTTTTCCATTTGCGAATAATCGCACCAATTGTTGTCATATTATAATAATAGTAATAGGTTTTCCCCTTTCATCTGGCACAAAAACTGACACCTATATACAAGGCATGTTTGCAATAACCACAACACAAGCAGTCAAAATGCAAACAAAAAAGAGGCAACTCTGATAATGATAATGATATGTTCTGTCCTTGAATTTGATTGGTCCACACCCGAGACGACTTTTCTTACCTTCTCACCAAGCTGCTTGGCAATGATCTTGTAGCACTTTCCAGCCTTGTGTAGGTCTACAATATTGTCCCTGACATCCTTGGAGAGCTCTTTGGTCTTGGCCATGGTGGAGAGTTTGGAATCTGATTGATTGATTGCTTCTGTGGACAGGTGTCTTTGAGTACAGTTAACAAGCTGAGATTAGGAGCACTCCTGATGAGAGTGTGCTTCTAATCTCAGCTCATTACCTGTATAAAAGACACCTGGGAGCCAGAAATCTTTCTGAGTGAGAGGAAGTCAAACACTTTCTTCCCTCATTAAAATGCAAATAAATTTATAACATTTTTATCATGCGTTTTTTTCTGGATTTTTTTGTTGTTATTCTGTCTCTCACTGTTCAAATAAACCTACCATTAAAATTATAGACTGATCATTTCTTTGTCAGTGGGCAAACGTACAAAATCAGCAGGGGATCTAATACTTTTTTTCCCTCACTGTATACAGGCATCAGGGTCGGCGTCTGGATCAAACCCACGCGCTGCTGTTTACGGGCAAATCATCCTACACCCACTGCCATCTGTCTCGTGTCCTGCACACAGGTTGATTTTACCACTCATCCTCCACAGATGTCGTCCTCTTGGGTGCCTTCTCTGCTCTGGCTGCCATTACATCAAACTTTTCTTAATTGGTAGTCATCTCTTCTCGTGACGAGTCCTGCCTAACGTTTTAATCAAGGAGGCGTCTTTCACCTGCGTTTGCTCTCTAATCTACACATTTCTATGTATTTTAATGTAACTGCAAGCACGCACATAGCGATGATTCATTAGCGTTCTAGTTTTTATTCCAATTCATTTAATATCGTCTGCATTTCTGATCGATGCTGCAGCCAGGTACACACACTTATTTGGAGAATAACATACTTCCGAGCACAGATACGTGTTACAAATTGTTATGGATTTAAACATTGAGCGTTTTAAATTGTTAGCAGAGAGTAGTTTAATTTCAGTGTTGATTTAATGTGTCATTGAAATTTAATCATATATTGAAATATTCAAGTTACTGAACAGCTACTGCATAAATATTTAACCTTTTAAAATATGTAAAAATGGAAATGTCGCATTTCAAAGTTAAAGCACTGTGCATGTACTGCAAGCATTGCTAAAGGAGCCTCTGATTGAGTCACGAAAAAAGTTTCACCCTCCCAGTTCTAAGATTTATAATTGAATGATGACATTTTAATGCTCTTGAAGAAAATAGTTTTGTACAGAACTTACCTTCAGTTAGAGCCCTCTTTTCTTGATCGAAAAACAAGAGAAATAGAATATTAGTAAAATACCAAACATAAAAGTAATAATTCTGCTGATTAAAAATCACAGGTATTACAGACACGGTCATTTACAAGAGTTTGCACAGTCAAGCGGGTTTGAAATTTCTATTCAGGTTGAGTGTCCCCAGTAACATGAATAGGAAGAGTGAGGGGCCCTGCTTTTTGATGAGGTAGTCGACACGTTTTTTAAGCTATGAACGAAGAGAAGTATTTATCCAGTCAACTTGTAGCCCTGGAGACACAATAGTTGTGGGTAATTGCTATTACTGGTGTAGATGACATAAGTGTACTTGTTCATTCCATGTAATGACCAGCTAATTTAAAATTGAAGACTGATGGCAAACGTGTGTGAAATCATTCCCTTTCATTATCTTTGAGGATCAGTCCAAGGCTCTCTGAAGCGAGGACGATGAAGTCTGCCTCTATCATAAGCCCTTTTTTATAACGCATGGGCTGTGATAATTAGCTCAGTCTTTACTGTACACTAGGTACCGTGGTGAAGTTTGGCTGGAGCGTGCTTAAGATAAGTGTAGCTGCTTATTATAGCAGTTTTGTTTTTTGTCCATTCAGCTAATGACTGCTGTATTTTGTTAGTATTATACATTTTACCCTGTGATAGATCCTTCACAACTCCACTGTGGTAAAGATCGCGCCCAATAAATGTGTAGAATACCGGATGATGGCCCTACGTTTCCACTGGATTTATGAGCCAAGGTTCACAGTCTAAATGGATGCGTTCAGATTATATACATCAGAGTCCGAACAGTACTTTTAAACAATATTTCTGTTCTTAGTTAAAATTTATGCAAACCAACACACCTGAAGACTACCGTTTCTGTTATGGTCGAAACGTCGTGAGAATTTTTATTGTTTTCTATATGTTTTATTATTTTGTTGTTTCCCTTCAACGTGACTTTACCGAAAGAACTAAGAATATAATATTCCTGTTTTTCAGATACAAGTTTAGAATGGTTTTAATTATTTTAAATGGTAAATAAATTAACGCAACATGTTTTCACCTCTGAAAGGACCACTACTTCTTATAAGTCTTTCAGAATCCTACATTTACATCTCTTCTTGCGCAATTTACAAGCTGAGGTTATTAATCACCACCAGACTTGATCAATCCTGAGGAGAACATGTAAACTACATAATTGATCAATCCTGAGGAGAACATGTAAACTACATTTTACCAGTTAAAGCCTACTGAGCTGTCAAGCTTTTTTTCACAAGTGACCTGGCCACATGTTAGCTCATCGATATATCTTGTCACGCAGACAATTATAGCAGCCAAATACTGTAAACGAATGTTTATTATAAATGTGGAGGGAGAAATTGGAGGACCCAGATAAAAATCCACGCGACCACGAGGAGAACATGTAAACTACAAATATACAGGCGTCAGGGTCGGCATCTGGATCAAACCCACGCGCTGCTGTTTACGGGCAAATCATCCTGCAGCCACTGCCATCTGTCTCGTGTCCTGCACACAGTCTGATTTTACCACTCATTCTCCACAGAGGTCGTCTTCTTGGGTGCCTTCTCTGCTCTGGTTGCCTTGTCTGCTCTGGTTGCCATTACATCAAACGTTTGTTAATTGGTAGTCATCTCTTCTCGTGACTAGTCCTGCCTAACGTTTAAATCAAGGAGGCGTCTTTCACCTGCGTATTCTCTCTAATCTACACGTTTCTATGTGGTTTAATGTAACTCCAAGCACGCACACAGCAATGATTCATTAGCGTTCTCGTTTTTGTTCCAATTTGTTTAAATTCGTCTGCATTTATGATCGATGCTGCAGCCAGGTACACACATTTATTTGGATAATAACATACTTCCGAGCACAGATACGTGTTACAAATTGTTATGGATTTCATTCGTGTGCACGATGTTGCTTTCCATTTTTCCCGTAATTCACTGCAAATCCATCACAATGGAGCACAATAGCCAGCAGGCGTGACTGAATGAGGACACTAATCTTTCATCCGGTACTGTAACAATGTAACAATGATCGACACAATAAAAAAAACCTATGAGTAAAATAAAATAGGAATACATTCAGCGTTTTTCATTGTTATGAGAGAACAGTTTGATTTCAGTGTTGATTTAATTCGTCATTGGAATGTTATCAAATGTACAAATATATCATGTTACCACACAGATCCTGTATACACATTATTTTCTTGTTAAAATATAAAAATAGAAGTTTCGCATTTCAAAGTTACTAGCACAACAATCATTGTGAAATGAGCTTCCTTTTTAAATTTCAAAAATAGTTTCTGCCCCGCATTCAAATATCTCTGAATAGACGATGCCAATTTAATTCAAATGTATCAAATATTTGTTTACAAAACGTACCTTGAATATTTATCCATGCTCGAGCTGACAACAAAATCAACAGAAACAAACAACACTGTCACAGTTGTACAATTTTATGCAAAGTTCATTTAAACATAAACACATTGAAGTACTTCGGGAATAAAAAAATGCATGCAATGGAAAAATCTGATTGTTATGAATCCACTCTACCCCTATCTCCTCTCCTCACCGATCGCTCGCTACTGCGTGCATGCAACATCTGCCCACCCATCCACAACCCCCATCACTACCCAATCTATGTCGATTCTCAAGGAACATTACCCTTGAGACTCAAGTTTTTCACAATGTTTTGGGGTTCATGCTTCGCTGATTAATTTTTATGACCGCTACCTCTATGAAGGACCTTGAGTTTCTGGAGTAAACTGAGGTATCTTGTCAAATGTTGAACTACAAAATCTAATGCGATAGCGATTCTACAATGAGGGAGTAGCCACTGAGTGTAAAGCGTTTAAGGCTTTGTTTTGTTATTTTGGGGTCAACAGAGCCATAAAGTATTTCGCGGATGTATCCAATGGAACCTAAAAACAAACAAAGCCCATTGGATATTTATAGAGGCAGAATGGGAGTTAAAGTTTGAACCAATATAGAAGTCACAATTGCGGTTATTGTAGAGGCTTACCCCCATTTTACTGGTAGGAACCTCCTGGTTCCACCAGCCCACAGGGGATTATTGTGTACGTCCGTCCGTCGTGCATCCAAAAATGGGAGGGGTGGGGCTGGGTGGAGAGGGGAGGGTGGGTAGGGAGGCGCTGGGTGGGGAAGGCGGCCACGGCACACACGAGGGGGTGGGTGGCTACCAAACACGTCCGGCCATCTTCACGACATTTTTTCTGGTGGAATTGCATTCTATTCAGGCGGGGGAGAGGCTGCTTTAGGTGGTACATGCACATCCAGACAGAGTAAGTATTGTATGACAACTTGTGCAACAACCCCCCGATGGGTATTGTACTCTTTTTTTTTGAGGAACAGCTTTTGTTTTTCTCCACCATCCCAGGTCCCCACTCGGTCCCCACCCTTCACGCCGGCTTGTGCCCACCCTCAGTCGGGCATATTTGCGGAATACACCACGCCGCCGTTGACCCTAGCCATTGACCGAGCAACCCAACATTCCTACCAGCTCCCTCCGCAGGAATGTGTTCTCTCCGCCTGATGACGACTGCTTGTGTTGCGATCGAAACGTCGTGTTTTTTTGTTTATTTTATTTGTATTAATTTGAACCTATCTACGAGATTTACCGAAAGACCGAAATAATATAAATTTAGCTTATTCAATGCAACCTGAGAAAGCGCACTGATGATGTTGATATCAGAGTCTGTAAGTTGTTTTTCTTGATTATTGACGTTGAGAATAAGATTTGTCCAAGTATGAAGCCTTTTGGAACTCCATTTGTAAACTGAAATTTCCGGATACCAAATTTTGGTCTGAGTCAACTTTATTTCACTGCCTGCAGAAATGAAAGATTTTGAGTTCATTTTGTAAAGTGACGTGGTCCACTGTATCGAAGGCTTTGGTCAAATTAAGAAGTAGTAGGCACAATATTGCTTGTCTAATCTTGATTTGAAGCTTTCGTAACTGCAGGAATCCATACTCTTTGGTTCTTTTGGTAAAGTCACGTAGGCATAAAAAAAACAATAGATCACGTCGTTTCGATCGCAATGCAAGCAGGCGTCTTCATGCAGAAAATGAGTCAAGCTGCTGGATGTAGGCTGATTTTAAAGGGTAGAAATGGGCGTAGCGAAAGAGTCATAATCGACTGAGAAACAAACGACTGCATAAACGATAATCGGCGGTAAGGGGAGAGAGAGGGGGTGGGGCATCCCCTTTTATTATCTCTGCCCCACCCCTTCTCTCTGCCCCTGCCGCCGATTATTGTTTATGCAGTCGTTTGATTCTCAGTCGTTTATGACTCTTTCGCTACGCCCATTTCTTACCTTTAAAAGCAGCCTGCATCAGCAGCTTGCCTCCTCTTTTTTCTGCCTGAAGACCATTGCTTTCGTTGTGATCGAAACGTCGTGATCGATTATTAATTTTGCCTACGTGACTTTTCCGAATGAACCGAAGAGAGTATTTTTGATTTAAAGCTTTCGTGACTGCAGTAATTCATATTCTTAGCTCTTTCGGTAGAGTCACGTTGATCATCATCACACCTGATGATGACCGTTTGTGTTATGGTCGAAACGTCGTGAGAATTTAATTGTTTGATATATATTGTATTATTTTATTGTTTCCCTTCAACGTGACTTTACCGAAAGAGCTAAGAATACGAAGAGTATTTGTTGTCTAGTTTCATAAATAGGACATTAAAGGAGTTGAGTACCGCAGAAGTTGTGCACGAATGTTTACAGCAGCCTGATTGTTTAGGGTGAAGCAGCCCATATTGTAGAGGTGTAATTGATACTTTTGGTCTGGACATTCTTTCAACGAATTTGGTTAGTGGTGATAGCTTTGCAATTGGCATTTTTTATATGTTTATTGAACCCGCAACCGCAAACATAACAGAGGGCAAACTCGAGGACAGGTAACGTGTGAATGGGAGCCACGCCCCCTAGGTAATTTTTCTCCCCCGAAGGGACAATTGTCATTCAACATGTAATAGAGTGATGTGGTTTATACGGCCAAAGCCTCCTCCCCATCCCCTTATTACGTACAGGTGTTTTGTGTTACGCTGGATTCTCAGGAAAAGGAATTCACATCGCCTCATATTCTCGTGCTTTTCCCTTCAGCTTGTAACTGAGGTGCTCCATCGCTGCGATCTATGCCAACGTCCCTACTTGTGGATACATGGTCTTGTTTTCCTTGCCATGGTTTTAAAAAGCTTGGCATAATGTTTGTTGGTACTTGGATACCCGCCATGGGTTTCAAACCTCACAATGATGAATCCACTGAAGGGCTGACTTCTGTGCCACAGATTGAGTTTAAGTAGTTGGCTATGTCTTGGTAGAAATCGATTATGTCTGAGCATTGCCAAAACGCATGCAGGTATGCTGTACAGTGCCCTGTGGGAACCTTAGAATCAGAATATTTATTTATACTCAAGTAATCCGATTATCTACATTGCTCTTTTTCATATATGTCCACCAGGGGCAGATAAGAATGTCACAACAACAAAATAGGAGTGCAAAGTAAAAGACATGTAAACAAGTCACTTGCAAAAATACAAATTAAACATTTTTAAAAATCTGATCAGGTAAGGCCCACTGAGGTATTAACTTGATTTTCAGAAGCGACCTGGCCACAAATGATAGCTCCACAAACTGGCTTATCATGTGAAAATTTACAGCAGCAAAATTATCCCAATAATCTCAATGCATGCTTCGAAATATGGAGAGAACAACGGGAGAACCCGGAGAAAAAAATCCACATGGAGAACATGCAAACTCCAAATTTACAGGCAAGGAACAAAACCTCACACCACCGTGGCATCCCTTAAATAAATACAGTTCATAAGTTAAAATTGCATAATCAATTCCCAAGATTGGGAAAGGAATCAAAACAACAGCAAAAACAGTCCCAGACCACATCAAGCCTCAATAAAATGTCGTGTTAAATTTTAACTATGGATGCGTTGTTAAGAATCGAATTTACAAGTTCTATCTTTGGTGGAAACGAAAGCCATCCCAGCGAGCTACCAGGGACCAAAATAACCTTCCTCCCATTTTTCCCAAATCCCCCTTTTTTTGGGTTTATCCAGTTTTTTTATATTTTAGAGCGTGATTGATCTTTGATATTGAAGAAAATCGGGGAGGGCCAATTTCTCCTGCTTCTTGGTGAGTGTAAGAGAGTGATGGTCGATTCTTGATATTTTGTAGTTCCATGCGAATGACGTGATGCGTGAGTGGAGTGTTTTAAAACATACTTTTGGTACCCCGGTGGGGGGTATTCCTAGGTGGTATACGAGTTTCATTAGAATTCTAATTTTCTCTAGGTGGGCTATGTTAGAAAGTGATAGAGGAATGACCTTCCAGGCCTCCAGCGATGTAGTGGTCTCCTGGAACAGAGTTAAGAACTTCCTATAGAAGGATGATGGGAGTGTGGATGGTATTATTACCCCAAGGTACTTTAATTGGTAAAATGCCCTCCGAAGCCTTAGGGGAGAGGGCATCAGTTCTGATTTTGCTAAATGTAGCTTGTATCCTAAGGCTTCTCTGTACTCTGTGATCAAAGAGAGTAGGGTACTCATAGAGGTGGATGGTTTGGTAACAGTTGCTATTACATCGTGGGCATGAAGGTTAATTTAGCCTTCTACTCCCCCCTTGCATATTATGGTCACCTGTCGGTTACTTATAGTGCTTTTTGGAAGGGGTTCTATTGCTATTGTGAGCAGAAGAGGTGAAAGAGGGGCATCCCTGCCTACTGCCTCTTCCCAAGGGCAAACTAGGAGAGACGAGTCCATTCGTTACTACTGTGGCAGAAGGATTGGCGCTCGACCCTGGTAAATGCCCATTCGACCCTGTCAAATGCATTTTATTCATCGAGTGTGAGAGCATATGCCGTGAGATTGTCCATGGTTGCATTTATCAATTGTATTTACCAGATGCCTCTTATTTTCAGCTGAGTAATTATTTTCTTACAAAGTCCATCTGTGCTTCTCCGATTATTGATGGGAGGACTCTTTCTAGTTTACATGTTATATTTTAGGCAAGTAACTTGTAGTACGAGTTTAGTAAGGATATCGTTTGTACTTTCGCATTGCCTCTAGCCAAGTACTAGGTTAAGGAGTACTTAGATCCTGGCATTCACAGAGCCTGGGAAGCCACCCAGAATGAAAGCCGCATTCATACATGTAGCTGCCAGTAATTGGGAGATGATTGGGGCCTCAATCGCCGTATATATTTTAACAGGGAATCTATCCGAGTCGTGTAAAGGAAGTGTAGTGTTAATGCATAGCGCAGTAGTTTGGTTATTATGGGTATTTTCCAGTTTTAGTTGTGTGTGCTAATTTCCCTAAACGTTTGGGATTGTGTGATCTTATAGTTATTGTGCAGGGAGTTGAGGTTTTTTTT